AGAATCTAGGATGAAGCTTAAAAGAGTTAGTCAATGGATTTTACCTAAATTAGAGCCATACGTTTCGACTCTCCCATATCTTAGATCTCTTAGGTAAATAGGGCAACTTCGTCTCCAATGCCCCTTCTCTTGGCAATAAAAGCAAACTGACTCTTTTGGAACAACACATGGAACTACCTCAGACATCGCCTTTCTCTTATGATCAAACTTTTCGATCATTGCATGTCTTTCATTTCCATTGTATATATCCATAGAGGTCTTGAAAGAAGATTCACCAATCAACTTTGCTTTTCTGTTGCGCCAAACCATTGTTGATTCAGCAGCAACAAGCATATAGGTGAGATCTATAAGGGTCACGTCGTAGCTCATCATATAGTACTCTCTTACGAACTTACTATATGAGTTGGGAAGTGACTGAAGAACCCAATCAACAGCCATTTCCTCACAGACAACGGATCCCAACATTCTTAACCTATCAATGTGTGACTTCATCCCTAGGACGTGTGCACACACGAACTTTCCCTTTTTACGTTTACTTGCCAAAAGGGCTTGAGTGATATTGAACCTTTCAATTTTACAATCTTGTGGGTTAGGGAGAATAATTGGAGGAGGAGGAGGAAGTGAAGCATGATTTCTTGTTCCTCGATCGAATCGTGGAATATCATCTTCATGTGGAATATTTGTTCCACGGGATTTGAGAAGACCATAGTTGTCGAACTTTGACATCGGGAGAAAAACGGATTCAAGTTAGTTTATTGATTGAGTCCTTGGTAAATCACCCAAATGAAATTCCAAGGCTAGGACCCAACACAATATTCTACAACTCGGGAGAGGGATGCTGTAACCCAAATTGAAGAACATTTGAAGGTAAGTGAATGACGATTCACTAATTTTCACCATGAAAAACGAAAAAGAAATTTAAGTTTTAAATCTATGAAAACTCCTAGATCCTTTGAGATTCATTGAACATTTCAATGGCATGTTTAAATCTCGATATGCCCCTCTTGTTTGTGACTGGGATGTCGAGGATCACAAAGCGGGTGTGAATAACCATGCAAACTACATGGTGCCCTCACATGTTACAATCACCTATTCGATGTGCCGGTAAACCACACACGCTCCACCGAACTATGACAAACATTGAGTCACCCTTTGCTACCTTTGCTTAGAACCATTTAGTGTGCCGGTAAACCACACACGCTCCACTAACGTCTTCGCAAGGGCACAAAGTGTAATTTCATGGAATTGCATCGATTCACTTTTGCCTAAGTAACTAAGATTGGGAATTTGAAAAACATTTAGTTACTTGGTATTTCATTATACTTATAATGGAAGGTTTCGTCCTATCCTACCCGTTCGGCTAACGACCCTCAAACTAGTCAAGAGTGCGGTGGATAAGAGTGGATACCCATTCAATCGCCATTTTATAGGCAATTTCCTTAAACACCCCTTATAGACCAGCTTCGTGAATGGGGCCTACTAACGGTAAGACTGACTTTTACTCATACATATATATAATGTTAGACTTTTAATGTTATATATAGTATAGGGTGTATTTTATACTTTTAAAATACTATGTGGTTAATTTTAATAATTACACTTTTAATTCAATTAAATAGTTAACCTAAACTTTTATGGATTTATTAAACCTCTTTTAATTATACTCCTTAATTAATTAATAAAACCATAAGGGTGTGATTTGAACTTTTCAAAACATCAGGGTTTTAACTATTTAAATTTCAAAACTTCAAAACTTTTGGGTTCAAATTTAAACTATAAAACCTAAAGAGGAAAATATGAAACTTTTCATAACAACAAGGATCAAATAACAAATAATCTAAACTAACATTTAAGTACATAATTATCCATATTTGATTTGTTTAATGATTTCTTGCAAAACAATTTATCAATTTACTCAAAATAATTAATCAATTATCTTATAAGGAAACAATTATCTTGTTAATTGATAATTATCTTTAATTAGATCAAGAATATAGTCATATATATCATAAAATCGGATTTATATTGATCTAACATGATAAGGTAACTATCCATATGCAAAAACAGCAAGAAATCCCGAGATAAGCATTATCTGACGAGTTGACTCCTCGAGTCAGGCATGGACTCGGTGAGTTCAGCCATGGACTCGGCGAGTCCAGCCTCCAGAATCCAAAAAATCGAATTTTTTCAAACATGTTAAGCATCAATACAATAGAAACCAGTCTAGGCTCTGATACCACTGATGGGTTTTGGTCATAAGACATCCTATGTGCTCATACAAACCCTAATGCTCGGATCTAGGTTTCTCTAATGTACATGCTTTGAATCCAAGACTATAAACCCTAATTCTAGCATTCAAGTAATCATATTAATATGTAATTAGGTTTAAGATCATACCTTGATTGTTATGTAGCAATAACAATCCCAATTCCTCCTTGAATTGACTTTGGAAGGCTTAGAGTCACAAGTGTCACTCCTCTAATGGTTCACAAACACCATAAGCAAGAGGATGAAGAGGAGAGAGGTTGGAGGCTGCCAAAAACGTGTAGAAACCCTAACAAGAAGCTTAGCCACGTTTTTTAGCCTTAAGGGGTCTTTATATACTTGGGCTATTAGGGTTATCTAACAAGGAAACCCTAATTTGATGCTTAAGCCCTAAACAACCCATAGACTCCTTTTATCAAGCCCATGGACGATTTCCTTATGGGTTTCCCATTAGAATTCGTCCATCCCTTAATACAAGGCAATCCATGGCCCAAATTGCAATTATCCTATAATTACAATTCCAGTCCCTTAAGTTTAATTAATCTCTTTTAGTCACAAAACTAATTACCAATTAATTATTGACTAATATTAATTAAACAATATGATTTCTCCTTTAATATATTATTCCCATAATATATTAATAAATCATATTTAATCCTTTCTCTCCATAATTCATCCTATCAAGTTGCTTTGGTGAAGGCAACCCAAAAGGACCATGCACCATCGGGTCAAGTACATACCAAAATAGTTATGGACTTAGACACTAATCCAACACCTTCACCCCGTGAAAGTCTGGCACACCACATCCCCTGAAGTCCTTGAAGGAGAGTGTGTGTGTCCCTGATTGTCTAGATTCCATGTCACTCCGGGATTCCCTGAGGCAATCCTCCATCAGCTCAATGATCCCTTCCTTTATCGACCCAAAAATCACCGGGGTCACCTCAACAATGCCTCTCGTAATCTCTGACGCGATGAAATCACGTAATGCATCATCAGCCGGCTCAGAACCCGTGTTTGAACCTGAACCTGATCCTGATCCAGGCTTGAACCTCCTGCTCTGTGACGTGTCACCACATTCCGAAAAAAACACATAATTATAAGGGTCTTTCATAACCTCGATAGGTCTCACACACTCTAAAAGTTCCCTGGTTCTATCTCATCCCTCCTTGACTCGAGTACGGATCCTCTGTTTTCAGTAGTATGGGCCCATACTACATTCCACATCTATCTGTACTTTCCTCAAGGTTTGCCTTGACTTCACCATGTCCTTTTCACTACTACTACTCTCTGTACTAATCTCATCCTAGGCTTACCCTAGGGTAATCTCTGACCCACTCTCCGCCATCAGCTGCATAAGGAGTCCCTACGATCTCCCCCTAACTACCTCGCGAATACCATTACATATTACTAAGACCAGATAATTCTTCGAATTAGAGACCCTGTCCTACAATGTTTAGAATCAAAAAAGAGCTGTGAAATAGGGCTAGACCTAACCTTCTGAAATTATTTGGTCCTCATAATATAACTTAACATATTCGTTTACAAGTTGGTTGAAGATAACTAGGATTCCTAAAGCACAAAGCAAGCAGCATTCGGGCATTGAGTAACCCAAAGCAAGCATATCCTATCCAGGCTATCATATCACTGACTAGTCAGTACTATCATACAGTTCGATAAGCATATATACTAGGCACATAAGGCATCTTCCTAGATCCTTAGCCCTAATCTAGCATACAGTTCTCATATAGGCAGATAAGGCATATGTCCTAGATCCTTAACCCTAATCTAGCATGCAGTTCTCATAATCACATCATGTATCGTAGCAAACATGTATGGGTATCTTAGGAAAAACTTACTTGAGTTCGGCTGATTGCACGCATCACACACCTTATTCTTTCTCAAAAACTCTTCATCTTAAATTTTTGAAGAACTATTTTCTTTGTAAAAACATTCAAACCCTCGATTTGAGTCCAAATACCCCCGAAGGTGTGTCCAGATCCCTCAAACCAAGGCTCTGATACCAACTTGTAACATCTCAAAATTTATGACCAAAAATTTCATTTTTATTTAATAATTATAAAACATTTGTCTAAAAATGTCATAGTGCTACTCATATCAAAACAAATGTATCCATAATCAAAATATGTCATAACACATCAATATCAGAGTACAAAATCCCAAGAATCCATAGTGCGGAAAAATCATGTGTGATGCGTTGCAGTCAAGCCAGCTCCCTTCCCTTTGAAGAGGAAGTACCAGAAACCAAAACTGAAAACCGTAAGCACAAAGTTTAGTGAGTTACACCATCATACCACATACCATACAATAACATACTGCATAGCAT